TTATTAAACGCTGGTTCTTTATCTAAATATGACATGCTTGAAGTATACAAGATATATACAAAATATATGCATGATGCATTCAGGGTAATTTATTTGTTCTAATTTATATTGTAATATATTGCACTAACATTTTTTTCCTAATCTATTTTCCTTTTCATAGATAATATCACAGGGACACATAAAAATTTGCTCCAATTTACACTATCTAGAGATATTTTAATTCTTTAACCCATTTGCATCCAAGCGCGGAATATTCCGCGAGCCACGACCGTCGTTTATCACCGAGCGCGGAATATTCCGCGAACCACGACAATCGTCTGTCACCGAGCGCGGAATAATCCGCGAGCTGACTTTTTCTGTTACTAGTTGCTGAATATTCTTCATATGTCACAGATCACGTTTGATCCCTTTTGTGAGCATCTCATCTACATCGGTTCATTATATTCTTAACAAGTTTTACTTTTGTCGTGAAAATCCTGTTAACTATCATTATGAGTAGGTGCTGATACGCGCTCGGTGATACGGGCTTGTCGTCAGTTGAACGTCGCTGATGCCTGAATACGGCACCTCAATTAGAACCATGATGCAAATGGGTTAATAGTTTTGGAACTCAAATGAAGAAGGTTGTAGACTGACTAATCTCTTTAATATTCTTCGGAACGCTTCTATTTGCAATACGAATTCTACAATGAGGCTATGTCAGAAAATATAATAACGTACTATGTATTAGCGAAGAAGGAACTGAGCCTGTATAGGTCAGGAGGTGCTTACATATATTTTTCGTTTCTGGTTTTTTAATTTAGAAATAATACGATTATAGAATCCTTCGTGTTTTCTTAGAATTACGTGTTTCGTAAAATTAGGATTAATCCTTTGCACTCGACGATTTTTTGGCTAGAGAAGAGTAGAAATTCAAAGATTCTCTACTAAAAAACTGACGATACTTTTCTGAGCAGTAAATAAATAATTGTATAATAATAGAATTGTCGAATTATTAGACTTCGATACTTCGCACACTGTTTCATTACATTAAATTTGATATATTAATTAATATCGGTCTTCCAAATTCTATGAAATGGTGACTAAAGCACATCTCTCGAGTGCAAAGGGTTAACTTAATGAAAATTGTAGAGATTAGTTGGGACATTAATACATTCACTATATGTAATTTTATACATTAAACCTATTTAGGCTATTCATGGAAACAAATTAAAGGAGTACCAAGAACTGTCAAGTTTGAGATACTTATAGTGAAATTGTGGATCCACTAAATTTTCAGAATCATTTCCAAATTTTGTTGGAACAGTGGAGAATTCCTGGTAGAATGGAGTAAAGTTTGAACAGAAAGATCAATGGTGGCTGGATAGATTAATGCCCTTGGAAAGGTCATGTCTCCTGACCTTTATATTTTATCATTTCCAAAAGTAAAGTGGAGGAGAGATTTAGGATATAACAAATTAAAATATGCCTTGGATAAATGACTTGCTTATTATATACTGCTGTGAATAATACATATTGTATTTAATATATAGTGTATAAGTTTCATAAAGATTGTAATACTGATAAATGAATAAAAAGATAATTAAATTGTTTACTAAAATGTATTAAAAATGTCAAATTTAATTTTGCAATGAACTTTAAAATTCACAAATTGAAGTATACATAGAGTAAATATTGCTATAAATTATATTCTTCGAATTTAATGCTACTATAAAGTTGAATTTAATACATAAAATTAATAAATATAGTACCATTGATAAGTACACAACAAGTCAAACCTTTTACTTAAAAATATTACAATATCGACCTTACAATAATCTGAAAATAAATTTTAAAATTCATACTACTATACGCATATTAATTCTATTTCCTATTTTTGTTTCTATTTTTATCCCTTTTCTGTAAAGTAACCTGGTCTTCCAAATTTTACAAATTTCATTTTATTAGAACGAAGACGTAATATTTTGTTGTTGTTAAATAATGAAGCATCTCAATAATTGAAATTCTTCAATGCAACTAAAATAATGAAAACGTATGAAACAAAGTAGAGAACATTATTAAAATCAAACATCATATGCTTAAAATACTCAAATATTTATTACAATAAGTAATTATAATAAGTAAATATAAATAGTATTAAATATTCAAATATAGACAATATAGACCCTCATTTTGTATTCTCCTATTCACATTAATACAACTCGAATGCCAGAAACTAATACTTAAAGTATTTACTTTAATAACTTATTAAATACTCATTTAAAAAATTTATAAATTTTCTTTAGAATATTTAACAGAAACTGAAAGCTATAGGCTTTTCATTACCACACGATCATCGCATCCTGCAGGACAATATTGAAAACACTGTTTTCATTCAATTGTCAAATTTGAAAATATCAAAACTCGTGAATAACTGATGCAAAAATAACAAATTGATTGAATTAACAAATTCCGTACATCGGTGAATTTTCCATTCAAGCTGTTTGATACTTTGAATACAAACAAATGTGTTATCACAAAATGTCTCATAATATTGCCGATTGATAACCACACAAATAATTTATTTGTTGTTATCGCTTCGTATATTATCAATAGTATACACAGCGTGAGCTAAGTTCTCGGTCGTTTTGTCTTATGCATACAGCTATTTAATTTGCTGATAGTATTTTGTTTTATATCTGAAGTGTCTTATAGTTCACAGCTTTGTTTGATAAGGAACATGTCAAAATATGTGAGAGACGAGTAGCTGGAATAGTGTGAAACTGTTTATGACATTTTATAGAGATATTTATGTTTCTGGTATTCATTTTAAATACTTTGTTTGTTCTATTTACCGATATATTATTTAATTTCATAATATTAGTTTTATAATAGCATTGTGTTATCCTGTAAATTAAATTTATAATATTAATTTATTATTACCACGATTTAGATTTATATTTTTTTAATATTGCTACATAAATTAATTTTATAGGCCTTTTATATTATTACAAATATTTTGTATGGAATTTTACCATTTATTTCAACATTTACTTAATTTTACAAACAATTAATACGTTTCTTCTCAGTTGAAAACTATTTAAGTAAATAATTTGAACAAGATTTAATACTGACATACTTTTCAATCTGACCAATTTTTCATTTTAATAATTTCTTAAATTTCGTAGCTTCAAATCTTCAATTTAGTATAAAATATACGTGTTCTGTTAAATAAACATAATGTTTTGTATGAATATTCAGGAACATGCAAAACACATTTGTATTATTCTTCGTTCATACGAGGGTCAAATTGTTGGATTTTATACCTCATTAATTACCTGATTGCATCTGATAAGAGATGCGAAGAATTTATATGAAGAGTTAATATTGATCATTATTAAGAAGCAGGTTAAAAGATGATTGTTTATGTGTATTACTCATAGTCTGCATCTGATAACAATATTTTGTTTCATTTTTGAATATCATCATAATTACTATAATTTTATAATAAAAATTGAACATGAAAGTATTTCGAAGTTGTACGTTAAAATATTCTTTTGAAATTAAAATGAACATATACATATACACTTTCGAATAATAAACTACATCAAGCATGTTACGTGACATGCAAATGACATTCTGCGTTTTAATATATTTAATTGCATTAATAAATATTTTTAAAACTGGTACTTATCTTTGGAAGCATAAATTGCAACGAATACATTGTAACTGAATAATAAAAATTACCTGACAGGTAAAATTCGAATTTATAGTTGGTATCATAGATTGGTTAAGTTATACAAACTATAGATAATTACTTCAATACATAATTATTATTAAATTTAGTATTGCTCCATTGTTATTATAAAATTACAGTTAACATTACATTTATAGTTATTTTAATTTAGTTATTTCAGTTTGTATAAGTAATAGGTGCTAGATAAGCATCCTATTTCACACGTTATTATTTCTGAATACGAATAAATTCTTATTACGAGATCCTCATATTAGGTATCCAGTTTTATGTTAAGAGAATTTTGTTGAAAAATGTAAATAGTGGAAAAAGTATCATATTTTCAGTTAAATTAATGAGAGTATATAGTACAAAGAGAATACAGCGTAAAACAGTGGCATAACACTTTGCTGTCCCTGAAGGAATTTTTGAACGCTATTTAAAAGATATTAACATTTTGCAAAAAGTCTTAACTAATAATTTAGTTCTTTTTTTAGAGAGAGAGGCATTATATGTTGAATGTGTGAGAAAGGACAAGAAAATAAATTTCATGAAATAATAAAATAAGTCTCATATAAGGAATCCATTTTTCAAATTTGACAATTTGCATAATCCTAGTTACTATTTCATGACTAAAAAGAGAACAGAGTTTTTATTACTCTATTTTCTAGTAGGTTGTAAAAGAATACATATTTCAGATTCAAAAAGTATATCCAATTTTAACAAAGGTATCGTCAATTGGAAGTTATTGTGCTTTGTTAGCAATAGGTCTCATATTAGGAAATGTTACCATACTTATTTTAATTATTCATTACAGAATTGAATAAAATTATTTCTCCCAAAAGAGAGAATCGTTACTATTGTATTACTACTTTTGAAATCATAAGTACGACCAAAGAAAGAATATAATTAAATGCTCTTTATATAACACATAACTCAATTAAATTCCATATTGAGATTAAATTTGCCTTCTAATTACGAAAATAAAATTCTTTTTCCATTCAAATAATTCAACATTTTGCTCAAAGAAAAAAATAATGACTCATAACTTTTAAAATTAATTTCTTGCAGTCTTTAGAATAATTTTGGAATATAATTTTCCTGCATGAATTCACAATATACAACAATTAATATTTTAATTACCTGAAAATATATACAAAAGTATGAGATTATAATTAAAACGAGAGAAATATGTTACAGAGATTTAAAAAGCTTCAGCCATTTTCGGAATAAACTGTCACACATAACATACGATAATATATTGTCGAAAAACATAATTATTACAAACCTTGTGTAGTTGCAATAATTTTTCTACTGATTTCCGATGTTCTTTGTGTGGCATACGTTGAACTTATGACACTCGTTAATTTCGGGACAATTCCACGAATGAAACACTCGTAAGCGTATTCTCCGGTTTTACAAAGAGAACTAGTCAGATCGGTCAATGAAACGCGAAGATAAGTTTCGAAGCTATCTCGTAAGTCAGTTATTGTAATCGCGAAATTTCTTTCTTTTTCGTAAATAAATATGACGTCTGCTCGATTATTCATAAAGTATATGTAAATTTACTTGGCAAGTAGTTAGTAATTCTTGCATCATAAGACGGAACTGGTGTGCATATCTTTTAATTAAATTTTATTTACATTTACGCATATTTGTTATTAATCTTTTAAACATTAGAAGATATTTGTTTATTTCCATTTTGCTTTTAATCGAATCTTTAATTAACCTTTACCTCAATTATCTGATTAACTTTAACTATGAAACTATTTTTAAATATTTATTTCTCAATTTTATGTTGTTTTTCATAAGATGGAACTAGTGTGCATATTTTTTAATTAAATTTTATTTACATTTACGTATATTTGTTATTAATCTTTTAAACATTAGAAGATATTTGTTTATTTCTATTTTGTTTCTAATCAAATCTTTAATTAACCTTTACCTCAATTATCTGATTAACTTTAACTATGAAACTATTTTTAAACATTAATTTCTCAATTTTATGTCGTCTTTCAACATACGAGCTGGTAAAGAAACATATTGTGAATGAAGGATTTGATAAAGACTATGAAATGTAATTTTCAAATGAAAGGGAAAGAACAGAATACTGTGAAATATAGTTTTTTGGAAAAAGATACAAACGAAATTAAAAACCAAATATCTGAAGATTAAAACAGAAACCTGTGAAATGCAGTTTTTGGAAAAAACTAAAACCAGTAAAAAATAATTTTCGAAAAAGGAAAGGAAAGTGTTAAATGAAATGGAAACGAGCAGGAGACAATCTTTGAAGGAATATCGATCACAATTCATTCTCATACAAATTTAAAAACATGAATTAGAAAAAATGCTATAAATCAAGAAGAGATAAGAATGTTTCTTCACTAATATTGTAACAATATTTGCGCTATTCCTAATATGTTTTACTCGATGCGAATTTAAGTACAGTGAATAGAGAAATGGTAAAAATGACAAAAGTTATGATATGTTAATCGATTGAATTGTATAATATTTTATTTAATATAGCTTAATTATTAAATTTATTTCACAAATATGTCAATTTTGTACGGGTGAAATGTAAATGTCATAATTCCAACTTAAAATGTAAATTCTGGATTGACATTAATTGTAAACCCACAATGTAAGTATTAAAAAATATTAATTTTAAAAAACGTAGTGAAAATTATTTTTGACAGTTACTGTTACTAATTCAGTATATTGAATAAAGTCATGAAGAAAGGAAATGATCAAATTTAATATAACTTATTTTACGATTCATTCTTCAATTTAATAATTAATACTAATTCAACAAATAATAATTAGTTTATTATTAGTAAACAATGCGAGTAATAATCTGATACATGATTTATGTCATATTCGTATTAATGAGAATGTATTAATGTATTAATGTATTAATTCGTATTAATGAGAATTAATCTTAGCTTAGTATAATTAGACACATAATTAGTAGCTACTTATTCCATTAGCAAAAATAAAACAAATTTCTCTTAGCTTTTCTTTTAAGAACATATGAATTACACAATTTTGACGAATATAATTTCACTGACATAATTCTCATTTCGTACATATTTAAAGAGAAATAGGTCCATGATATTGATATGAAATAATAAAATTATATTACGAATATTATGTTATATTATGAAATGTGAGAAAGCTATTAATAAAAATGAAAAATGTTCAACATTTATGTTACATAATGTCATAAAGAGTAAATTCTTTTCACAAAAGATTTCTTTCCATAATATTTATTTATGTCATAAAATGGAAACTACAATAAGGGTTGAATTAGTTATTTTAAAATTATTATTCTAGAACTAGAATCTTCGGAATTTTAGAAATTTTAGAAATTTCAGAAATTTAAAGGGAAAATTTCGAAAGAGTTTTTGCTGTAATAATAATCCACATGATACTGTTATTATTGCTTTATCACATCTCAGACTTAACATTCTAAAGCTGTCATAAATACCACCTTGAGCTAACTTCTTTATTATATTTATACCTGTGGATAGAAATGAATACCAATATCTTCCACGTTTTTTAACAGTCAAAAAATTAATATATTTCGATAATAATATTTAAATATTGACAACAATTCTAAATAAACTATTTTAAACACAAAGATTGACTCTATCTTGAAAATTCTTTTCTCTCCCTCTCACTCTTGTTAACACATGTTTACTCTATGACAATTCTCACGTAACTGTTTTACCCTGGCACATCCTTCGAAACATTTTTTTAACAACATTCATACTAGACCCCACTCGCACATATTATATTTATATCATGCCAAATGACTTTCACTTATTCTATCTCATTCCCATCCATATACATGAAACCAACACTCACAATACCAAGATATATCGTGGAAGTGATTTATTTTATTATATCGTCATTACTGATAGTATTAATAAATAGTCATAACATTAATTTTTCGAGAAGTTACATATTTTTAGAAGATGAGAAATACTTAAGTTATGTTCAGAAAAATCGATTTTCTTTTGTGTCCTATACAAGTTTTATTTAAAAATTACAAAAATTAATGAAGCAAAATTCTGTGTTAATCGAGGGTGGAAAAGTTTGGAAAAGTTCTTAATAGCAGTAGCTTAAAAATGTGTGGAAAATATAACAGAAGAGTTTTGTATCCTCATGTATATAAATTTTATTCTATTACAAGATAACTTGTAATACAAAGTTCGAAATGTCTACTAAACCAATTGGGTCAGTTTATACGTTAGAACAGAATATACAGTACAATTCGTTTATCAGCATTCATTATTCACAGTGTAGAACTACATTCGTTTAACAATTGCTTTATTATAATAATCACGTTAGTATGACTGCACAAATTTGCATATTTGTTATTCGTCTTCGTGTAATACGTATCTGGTTCAACAACTTTCAATTGGCAAATAAATGTTAATATTTAATAAATTAATATTTACTAAACATAATTATGATAATATTTAACATAATCATACATTTATGTTTCGTACCATTTTAACATACTGAAGTTATGACTACCAGAGATATAATTGTAATAAAATTAATTGTTTATCTGCAGTCAAATGTATACAAAATAGAATTGTATAGACAATAATAATTTACGTAAGTTATATAAAAATAATTTAACTAAATTTTCTGAAAATGTTTGCTCGTGAAAGTAACTAAAAATCAATTTGAACCGAGAAATTAACGCAGAATATTTATTCTAAGATACGTATGTAAATAAGTTAATCTAGTTAATGCTTAAAAATTGTATACTAAGTTATGAAGTATTATATTAAATAATATAATGTATTAAACTACTTCAAATGAGGCATTTGTAAAGACGAAAATTGTTTCATGTAGTAAAAGTGTAAAAGAGGAGTGTACAAGATCATAGTGTTTAAAAATTTAGAACTGTTTATGCTGTAAATATAATTGTGACATAATTCATCATTAGAATTTCTGAATTTATATAACGTTTAACAAATTAATCTTTCAAAGCACTATTTCATATTTACATTTTTATACAGTTATTTTATTCTGTTCTTATGTAATATATTACATGATAAACTCTCTGTCAATGATGTGTCCTTCAGGTCGTAATAAGACAAATTGTTTTTCCAATACCAAAATAAATTACTCAGCCACGCTTTCACGTCGAAGATCCCAGGCTATTTACCCTTCCTTAAACACAATACTTATAAAACGTATATACGTATACACGTACAATCGGTTAGAAAAATCGAACAAACGTGTAATTCGACCTTCGACGTCTGTACTCTAACTTTTTGCTAACGAATAACGCAATATATGCATAATATTTCTCCTTATTAGATCAGATGTTACATATATTATAGCAAAAAATAATTATCTTATTCTTAAAATTGTTATTACCATTTTCAATTAAATAATTTTCCATAGTTTATTATTTCCTGAAATAATTACATTATTTTAATGTATATTCTATGCAATTTAATCTGTCATTAATTTTTACTTAAATCACAAATATTTGAGTTACGTTTTCGTAACTAATACATTTAGTACAATAAAATATAATAAGATTTAGTAAAATTACAGCTATTTAACACTAGGTTTACGAACACTACCTGTATACCTATTTCTACGGACACTTGCCAAATTTACAGATAAAGGAAACCACGTGTCTTTTCTTTTTTTAACGATTAGTTTAATTTAAAAACAATTACAATATTAAGAGTCTTAATATAAGTTAATTAAATCTGTTACCATCGCATAATTGGAGCAACCCATTGTGGTAGTGGTCACATAGATTTTTAGGTATATATGTGTTGAGATGAGTGGAACAAGTATGCATGGGATTGGAATGTGTAATGAATTCAGGTTATTATGATAAATGAGTATGCGTGTAATGATTGAGGTGTGTGTGAATTGTGTATGTCAATGTAATTTATGAGAGGAAAAGTAAAAGAGCATGATTTCGGATATGTTAGTTGTAATTGAGATATAATGGTGAGAAGTCGTGTCATTGAGTAATTGTGCGAAATTAATTATATTTAAATGTTATATTGGTATTTTACAATCCTTCTTATTAAATAAAGAATTGTTCTTCTTGTTGTTATTAAAATTCCTTCCACCACTAACACCCATCCGTCAAATTGACGGGTTTCGTAAATCTAATGTTAAAAAATAAGAAATACATATATTATCTAAAAATAAAAGATTCGAGATGTTCGTCGTAGCTCAATAAACGTTTGTATTTGTGTACTCTATTTATTCCATATGTCTAAATGATCAGATCATTTTGATAAATTAAAAATAATATAAAATTTAAATCGGTAACTATAGTGATTGAATAAAACTTGAAATATAATTCTTAAACCTGAAGCAAAAAATTGGTTTGTTAGTAAAATTATTAATAGGGTTATACGA